GTTAATAATTGCAATACTCGCCCAAAGCCGATGGGTCTTGATGTTCGTACGATGTCCTGGCATATGCAAAATATAAGGTGAGAATTTTGCATCATTTATGGTGATTGATGAAACGAACAAAATTGGTATCACTGTTATAGTATTAGAGGACCATCACGTGCTTCCGAAAGTAGATGCATGTACTGTGGTTATTTGCTTTGGATCGTTCATACATGTGAGTCTTTCAGATGGAAAGAAGGGGAAATGAAAATTATTCACAAGTACAGTAGCTGGTAGTGTAAGGGCAACTTCGATGAAGTTTGCTTTGTCAAGTGATCTAATGGGACGTTGTTCGTCAGGGATTACGGTTTCACGTATCGAGAGGCAGTGGCTCCCTTCGATATTGCCAGAAGCGTGCAGACATGAAGTGCGAAAGCGAAATCTTGTGGGTCCTCCATTGGGAACTGCAATCAGTGCATGCGCTGTTGGTGCATTTCCACCCCTTTTCGTCGCAGCACCTTCGAATATTCATATTTTTTACAGCATTTGCTCTCATGTTACGAATATAAAATACTTGTGTTCCCAATGGATAGAAACGATTTCTTCAGGAAGCAGCCGCGTATCGCATAGTTCTTGAGGGCAATTTCGTGGTCTTCACCGTCATGAGGTACGTTTTAGAGTAATCCGAACTGGTGACGTTTGGATGCTCCACTTCTAAGTGGTTTTATTGTAATTTCGAGTTTTGGTTTTATATTAGAGATTTCAACGATATGTAAAAAGTGACCACCGATGGCCTTCAGAGTAGGTGTGGACTCGCCGGAAAAAGAAACACAAGGGAAATAAGAATACACACATGGAGGGCAAAATGGTGACGTCGCCATATGTGGTTGACAGTTGTTGTGGTCGCAGATCTAGCCTTCATTGTTTTGATACCGGGCAAGTGCGTAGATGACAAACGGACATGATTTCTGTAAGTCATTTTCATTCTGTGACTTCTTTTTAATACGCTTTCAGTACACTGGTTCTCGATAGAGTTAAGTTAATAGACGCTAATCATTTTCGTGCTCGCTTAGTAACTGTTCACGGGCCAAAGTCACGGTGTCAGACATCAATAAGTTGTGACTTTGTCATTGACCCTGATATTTAGTTGAAGATAACAAAAACAACTAATTCTCTGCATACACGTTGGAGCACGGTATGAAACGTGGTAACTTGTGGTTCTTGATGACGTGCCTTAAGTAATATGACCTTTGGCGCAGTATTAGAAATTCCCTAATGTTCAGCTGAAATAACTTTTCACACGGTAAGATATGATAACTCTGGGTTACTATAGCTTTTGATCTCTGTTAACTTCAGATAACGATAGCAAGACAAGAAAAACAACAGCCTTATTAAACCTGCCGATGCCTAACGTAAAGTGCATCGACTATCCTTTGGGAGAACAGTGCCGACTATTTTCAAGGAGGATTGTAAATGTGTTATAGGTGAATCTTCGCAGTAATGATGAAGATCACCGTGTGTCTGATTTTTGTCTGCAACAATTTCAGTGGCACTTTCGTCATAATTGGTCCTGCATTTGAATTCGAACAAACATTTGGCAGTTTCGTGCAATGGTTTCTGTTAGAACCGGATTGCGCATGTGTATAGCTTTGGAATCAGAACCGATCAGTTGAACTTAGCTCTTCTGAAGTAAATATATTATTGCCATGTCATGGGAATGAAGCAGGTACCTACGCATCATAAAGGCCGTCGATATGCAATGAATAGAGCAAAGTAGACCTGACTAATGAAAAGAAGGTCACACAAACGAGGTCCAATCATCAAACGATAAAGTTGACCGCCGTTCGTGCTGCTTCAAAACTGTTTCCCATGGAATCAGCTGAATGGCGATAAGTATTTAAGAAAATGCCGCAGTTGACCGAGAAATTGTATTTCCTAGCTACTAAGATTAG